CGGATGTCATCCATATAATCGAATCAGCATGGCCTTAAGGTCGAACTTAAGGCTCCGTGACCACCTACCAGTTGCCGGGGTTTAGGGTGCGTTCAAGCTTACGCAACAAGAACACACTTAAGCTTTAAGTTGAAACCTTTGTATCCACAGTCAACTTTTGTTATACGAGGTCACGCACAACGACATATCCTGAAAACATCTGTTAGGCCATGTTGATTTGATTATATGGATGACCTCCTCTGGGAACCCCAAAACTGATGCGCGCGTGCGAATAAAAAAAAAGTTTTGCCAAAAAAAAAGTTGCTTTCACTATGAAATCTACGTGGTCATGAAGGTTGAACAAATGGCACAGAATATGTTATGGCGAATAATCTACTCTTCGAATTCATTTCTTTACATTTTTGTCTTTTTTCCTTTGATTTTGGCATTCTACGACATTGGTATCGTTTCTAAATGTTTTCCTTGCAACTTATGGTATATTTTTGCTCATTTTAGCAACTGTTTTGCACGATTTACAGTATGGTTGAAAACTTTTTTTTGTGGAAACGGCCGAAAATTCATGCGCGCGCGGATGTCATCCATATAATCAAATCAACATGGTCTTACATGTGATTGATATTTCTTATGTTGAAGACAATGCATTATCAGTTTTATAATTTTTGATTTAAAAATGTTTAGCCCGTATGACAAAATGATGAACGTGATTTAAAAAAACACAACTTGGTTAACTTTGACGCTCTTTAATAGAAACTTATGCACATACTGTATAATAGTTTGAGTCACGCATTTCGGCATAGATTCCACTAGTTTGAGGTCTCATTCCGGTATTCTTCCGCGTGGGTACTCTAAAGTAGATCGTACTAAAAATTAAATGCGTGTATGGATGTGTGTTTATATCCGCCAGAAATTGCATTTTAGCTAAGTCAGTTGGCGTAAACCGCTTGTGATATGAGAGGTTGTTTGTATGTGCTAAAATTAGTGGGTAAGTGTTGACATCCGCGCGACAGGTCGGATGTTTACACGCTGTTGTGATGGGTAATGCGGTCAGGAGGTAGCAGCGCTGGAGGACCTCTGGCGGAGAGTGGCCAAGTGCAGTTTATAAATAAATAAAAAGAGATTGTTGGGTTAGGTCTGGTTGGGAATTTTTTGACGTAATGTAGGGCCATTGTGCTCAAAATTGATTGGATAGACTAGATGGCTGTCCTTCAAATTATTGGGTTTTGGCCTATGTAAAGTTACGTATTTTGCCATAGGCGGCTATAGTTAACAAAAACTCACGAATGAGACCTTGAGTAGGCGTAAAGTAAGTCATTGGCGAAGTGTTGGCTGCAAGTTTCTTAAGATCCGCCAGGGTTCCCCACAAACCGACCGGACAAGTTGTGCAACAAAGAAATAGCCCCAGGCTAGTGATAGCATCATTATCTTTAGGTGCATACGTAATGCTGAGGTGGTGTCTAGCAACAGGGAGGGCACACAGCATATACGTACGTGTACAAAATTACAGGTCCTGAATACTATATATAACGACAACTTTTCAATTGAAGATATACATCTTTCTCAATATATTCCAGAATTTGATGCCATCGATATGAACTTTCAAAAATTTTTACTTAGAGTTAATACAAAAGCATCAAATGATGGTGTTCGCGGAGAACTAGAAACCTTTCCAATAATAATAGATACTGAAATACAATTAATAAAATACTGGCATCGTTTTGTAAACTTGCCCGAAGACAGCTTACTTCGTGAAGCATACAATGTTTTATATTCTGGTAAACACGATTGGCTTAACCACGTAAACGACATTCTGAATTACAATGGTCTTGGACAATTCTGGACGAACCCCGGATCATACCAAGTGGATACGATAACCAATCAATTACGATCCCGCCTTCAAGATATATATATACAAAAATTGTATAATTCTATTAGTAACAAAGCAAAATCTGTACATTTTTGTTGTGTCAATAAAGAATCCTACTGTATTACGGCTGAGGGTGTTGGCTCCAGTCATAGTACATGTACTTTGGAGCGTAGGTGAGTTGTCCCATGGTGTACTCGCTGTCGTTGCTGTCCCGAATGTTGACACCACCCCCTGTCACCTCTGCGTATGTGGGCGGAGGAGCTGTGACAACAACAGAACAAGTTGAGACTAGTCCGAACTAGTTATGGCTAGTCCAAACGGGTTTTAGCAGGTCCTAGAGAGTTTATAACTAGAGTAAGTCGGAACTAGTTGGGACTAGTCCGAAGGGGTTTTAGCTGGTTTTGACTAGTTCTAAATGTTCCGAATTGGTGGCCCATCAGGTCCAAGCGTGTCCGGGCCCAAAAAGTATCTATAAACTGCATTATCAGGGAGCTGTGGTGGATCGCCCCTTAATGCCCCCGGTATGTTTGGGGCATCGAAAGAAGCCAGCAGGCCAATATAGAGTAATTTACACGAAATACAATGTAGCAACCACAGCACAGCAAGAAGTGCTAAAATCTGCCGCGAAATACAAAGACATATCTTTCTGAATTTGCATAAATTGAATGTCTAGCTTTTATTGTATATTTCTTCAATGTAATAGATTAAAAATGTCTGATGTATTAACATAAAACATTGCTATTGTGCCTGAGCTCTTTTTTATGTAGAAAAATTTTGGCGATGCCTCAGGGGCGGAGCCTATCATTTTTACTTACGTAGAGGTGGTGCTGTTGCTCCCAGGTAGTCCGGCACTCCTGGTATTGTTGTACTGTTATACGCCGGCTGGGGACCACCATATTGTGTCGTCAGTGGCACGGAGCCAATTGTAAAGGGGAGTTCAACTTTAAGGTTCAGGTGGGCTCCTTCAATGTGTGCAGTAACCTTAGGAAAATGTAAACAAGCATCAGCTAGTACCTTTTCCTTGCTAGTACACATTGTAAGTTGTTTTCATATCGTTCTTATCTACATGCTACAAAACAGGTAAAAATGAACTATCGTTAGCCTTGCTCTTTAGATTCCACAATGTTCTTGGTAAAATGATTGAATTAAAAAATAAAAGAAATTGGTTACAATCTGCAAGCTAAGTAACTCTGACAAAATGAGAGAAAAAAGAAGCGAGTAGGGGTTCATCGTGGTGTGAGTGAATCAAGCCATGCGCCACAGCCTGTTCTTTCACCGCTAAATGTACTTGAACTAGTACAAAACATAACAGAGAAATGAAAAACAAAACATGGCTAATGCCCGAAAAATAAGTCAACTAAATTGCATACATCGATGAAGGTTAGACATCCAGGTAATACGATACGCCAAAAAGCAGTTACTCAAGCAACTGGATATGATTTTGAAAACGTCAGACGTTTCAGCTAGTATCCACTAGCTTTCGTCAGTGACTAAGAGACCAGAGGGGAAATGCAGGTTTATAAGCACAACCTATTGATTGATATGCAAATAAACTGAAGACAAATTTTTGGAAGTCGAAAAAGGAACAAAAGTCAGACCATTTCAAGTCAATCATATCCAGTTGCTTGAGTAACTGCTTTTTGGCGTAAATTGCATACATTTATATGATTTATTGTGCTTTGTTTTTAATTTATCAAATTTCAAGGCATAACTTTTCTACTCTCCAAACAAGGTTTAAGCTTTGGCTTTTTTTAGCATATTCAGACTTTTTATCAGGCTCTCTTTTTACTTTTTTCTCTGAATTCAGCCCAACTTGGCATAAAAAGATACCATTACAATAAAAGAAAGCCCGATAGAAAAACATGAAACATGTCAAAAATAAGCCACAGCCGAAACCTCTGCTTGGAGAGTGGAACATTACCAGAACCACATATTTGATGTCAATGATGTTACAATATCTCAGCTCAGAGGGGGGAACGACGGGTATTGGAAGAACCAGTTCTGCGATGTTCTCGGACAGACGAGCCCTACAGCCAAGTCCTACAGTCTTACTCAGAGTGCTGTGGGAGGACCTGGACTTTCTGGTAGCATAGAACGTCACCGTCTGGGGGAAAACGACAGGTGTTGTTCAACAGAGTGCGAAAGAAAACTAGTTTCTTGACATGTACATACATACATACACTACTTATCAAGCGAATCAGTACTTCAAATACTTAAGAATTGTAATAATTTCTCTTTTCATGTATTATAAAACAGACAAATGTTGATGCAATCCATAGCTTCCAAAACTAATGTTACGCTACCTCACTCAAAATCAGATATCTTTGATATCTTTAATAAATCTTTAATATGCTCCTTTCATGTCCTACTCAGTTATCAGTGTACGTTGGAAAATTCATATTTGAATCACTACAAAAGCGACACCATATTGTAAATAGCTGATATATCCCCTGAATTACAGAATGTAATAATACTCTTGCTAAGAAAACACAATAGATTAGCTCGTTAGAATCATATTTTAGTATTAGTTTGTGTACGTACCATTGTTGTTTCTTTGCCATAAATTGTACCAACTACAGTTGTTGAGCAATAAAGTTGATTGATTGATTGATTGTATTAACCCTCAACAGAACACCTTCCCGGACTGATTAATCTGTACACCTGGGGTCCGCGCGGACCCCAGAACAGTTTTTTTGCTAATTTCTAGAAGTTATCAACATGCTACCAGCTCAATTGTTTTGCAAACTGATGTGGGAACCTCTGTGTCCACATTACATACAAAAACCATACATTTTGAACTTTTTCTATTTTTTGGTGAAGAAAAGAAGACAAGAAGAAATACCCGATTTTTAAACCCATTTCAGACTGAAGAGGCTTTTGAGGCCCAACTTTGATCTCAGATAGCGGCTAAACGGCTTGCGCTAGAAGTATCAAATTTGGAGACCATTCCTAAAATGTCTCTGGAAAAAAGTTCATATTAGTTTAATACTAGTAAGTTGATGTTTTTTTGTGTTGCCATGGCAACGGGTTTCTAGCAGGCAGTTTTTTTGAAAATAGAAGTAATTTTGTTTAAACATAAAAATTTTCTGAGTTTTATATTAAATTACACTTCTTTTCCAGCATTAATAACATCTTACATAATTAGATATAAGTTAAATCATTTAATATGCATAGAATATGCTAATTTGATGACGTCATTGGTCAAAATCCAATATGGCGGACTATATTATTAGCTCTGACGTCATATGACGTCATAATCACACCAAAGTTAGTAAAATTTAATGCTATTACTACACCATTCTCTGAAAACTTGGTAGACATACGATGAGTGCATAAAAACATATAAAAACGGAAATAAGGTAATGTATAAGAACGCCAGTGTATCCATTATGATCGAAAGCCGGCTGGGGTCCGCGCGGACCCCAAAAGAAAATCAGATATAATTTTTTTTATAAATGGTAGAAACGGAGTTTTCTGCACTGTATTGAGACTGAGAGACAACTTTGTGGGTGACAATTACCTAAAATTTCAAAAAAAAATTTTAGAAACCAAAAAGATATTACAGAATATATAGTGCTGGGGTCCGCGCGGACCCCAGGTGTACTGTTTAGGGTTAAGTAAAAGCAAAATGATCCTAATGATCCAATACTTGATCTCTCGTGACATACCTGTACAATCTTTGCCGTTGTCTTGGTGATCCTGGTGTTGCTGTTGTTTTCCACTGACCCCTTTACAACAATCCTCTCCCCGGGACAGTACCCACCCCTGTCTGTCTGTGCCTGCAGTTCGATCGGTCCCGATGCGCAGCACAGGCAGCACAGAGTCTTGGAGTTCTGATTTCCTGAAGGCATCTGTTAAGACATTGAAGGTAAAGTAATTAAAAAATGTGCAGAGAATCAACCTCTTAAGTCATTAAAGTTCATTTGTGTTGGTAGTAATCATAGTAAAACGTTGAACTTTATTCCAACACACAAATTATACAGGGATCAAATTTTCAGCGACCACTGTCGCCTTCATCGGGATAATTAATGACCAATCACTTCACAACGTGATCTCGTGGGAACAAGGTCACATGATGTAACCGTAACTCTCGCGAGATGACGTGGTGAAGTAATTGGTCATTAATTATCCTGATGAAGGCGCCAGTGGTCGCTGAAAATTTGATCTCCGTATAGTTTGTGTGTTGGCATATATATAGTTCAACGTTTTACAACCTGTTAAGTCATTAGACCAGACATTATTTTCTTCTTTTTTTTTGTGTTATTCACCAATTTCACACTTCCCATAATGCCTAGTAACGGTCACGGATATGACGTAAGACCACCCCCCTCCCCCTTCCTGGATGTAATATTTCCAACGAGTTCTATCGACAAACTGGTCAACTATTGTTTTGAATTATTTCTCTAGTATAAAGCGCATGCCATAATTGCATTTTTTGTTGGAATCAGAGAAAATGACGTACCTTCTATCGTTCTACCTTCTACCGAAGACTCTCCTACTCGCGCGGTCGCATTACGTATATTAGAACGATAGAAGGTACGTCATTTTCTCTAATTCCAACAAAAATGCAATTATGGCATGCGCTTTATACTAGAGAAATAATTCAAAACAATAGTTGACCAGTGTGTCGATAGAACTTGTTGGAAATATTACATCGAGGATGGGGAAGGGGGGTGGTCTTACGTCATATCCGTGACCGTTACTAGGCATTATGGGAAGTGTGAAATTGGTGAATT